TAATTCACCAGGATTTATACAGTGGTTTACAGGGGGAACCGCGTGGAGGTTAAGGCTGACATGGTACATTGCTAGCAATAGCGTCATCAGTCCACCTTACTAACAATCCCCTTCCCCCCAATGTTTAGTAATTGTGTGCCGCTACTGTTGGATGTACACGTTGGACGTAGGTACCTATTTATATAATGCTAATTAAGTTTTGAATTTTATCCTTTTGTAATAGAGTTTTGTTTATATTAAAAACCCTAGACGAATCTAAACCTGTACCGTCTCATAGTTTAGGCTGATTTCGCAATTAATATGTAATAATGTATATTAATCCATCAAAGTGGAAACTGTCTAGTCGTCTGCGTACCTTTGTCTCACCTATTTCAACTGTCAAGCATTATTTCAGCAGAACTGAAGGATTAGGTGGAGAAATGCCCTTCAGAATGGGAATGCAAAAGTACCACTGGCATCAGCATGACGATGATGCTATACTTATATATTGGCGTTACCATCCCCCTCACCATTTACCATCAAGTGAGACTGAAACATATTTGATGTTTAATTATTGCAAAATATATGTGCATCATGGTTCAAACATTTGTATTCATGAGTATGATTGTCTGTGTCGCTCTGGCTGTTTTATATGTATATTATGTATGTATTTACAAAAAAATATATATCTGTGTATTCATATCAGATGTCTAGTACCAATAACACAACATTAACTTGACTAGATGGTGCTGTGTGATTTGTCCTGAGAAATTATGTTATTAAATAAAAAAACTATCTTTAATAAAAACAGCTACAGTTTTAGTAAGACCAGCCGTTATGTATTACGGCGAATTCTACAATTTGGCGTCGACATAAGCTACAAGTTTAGTACCTACCGTGTAAGTGTGTAGGCGAGGCACATTGTCCGTAAGTTTGCGCGTTTCATTAGCATCAGCGCAGCTCACTCGGGCCGTAATAAGTTAATTGAGGTGCAAAAACATCGTAACTCGGTTAACACTGGCCCCTTAATGCGTTGCTGCAAGTGTTAAACGGATTATAGTTAACTGCCGATAACTTTAACATTCTAGATGTAAGGTACTAATTGATGGGAACCACAGTTAGTGTTTCGCGAATCTAATAATTTAAGTGTAGGTTAAGGGAATTATTTTTACCGTAATTATTGTTTTCACAAAAAAAACAACTATTAATTTTGACAATAATTAGGTTGAAAGGACTAATACCACTTCGTTCGAGTGGAAATTAATCTTATTACCATCCATTGTTGTAGTTACATAAAACATGTTAAGTACATACAAGTAATAATTTAAATTTCATTCAATTGTAAATGCGACAGTATGCCTATCTCTCAGGCTATTTGTTACCATTCAGAAATCAACGATTGAACGGGTCTACTACTACGACTAGATTATATCACTAGAACTGATATAGGAAAAAAATATTTAAAATAAAAAGAAACGAGATCTGATCACGACCTGATTATAACCTATACTAGAGTACGTGTACACTTTGGCATTGCAAAAAGAATCATAAAATTTCGTTCAGAGTGATCAGAGGTATCCCGTAACAAATGCACTAAAAATACAAAATAAGAGTCAGAACCTTCTCTGCTCAGAAGTTGGGTAAAAATGTTATTTTATTATTTTCTCTGAAAAAATATTTCCCGAATGTTCTTGATTATGTCTACCTTAATTTACCCTGTGTCCAATGTAGCTATGATGACAGCTAATATATCAACACAGTAACAACACAAAACGAGCGGAACAAACAAAATTAGCCGGTCCGCCCGGCTGTCTGTCTGTTTGTCCGCGCATATAGACTTAGCCGTGTAATCTTACTTAACGTGATCCCAACAATACTGTCCAATTTATAAGCGGAAGCGAAAGTGTTCAACTTTCGCTTAGTATATATTATTTATTTATTTCACTTTAATATACTCTACATATTATATGCATAATTAAAATACATACGTTATTTTTGATACCGAATGTCATTATCTACGAGTCGACCGTAACTGGCTTGCATATTATTTCCCACTTTTGAGCAGACAAGTCACTTGTCTAATCAAAGTTTCGCGTATGATTTTTATGTAATGGTATACGTATGTGTTGTAGTTTATGTTTAAACAATTAATTCAAACACTATTTTAGTTCAACAATTAATTATTATTCATCTTAAACTTATAATAACTGGGTACGGAGGCAGTTCTCCGAATGATGCTTGACGAAGGAACCAGGAACGTCATATCAAGCGATTGGCACTTACCATTAGAGGTACTGTCAACTCGTTTGCCATTCCGTTACATAAAAAACCTTGACTAATCGAGAATGATATTAGAATGAACTTCACGTTTTGTATTATATATATGTAGTATACGGTCAATATAGTCATGATTATATTAATACGTGAAACAATAACTTTGTACTTCTTTTTACGAAAATTGCAGAAAGGGAGCAGTATGATATTTTACATAGTTATAGTTTATATTGAGAAGGAGTGCGAGATGGTATTTTTTTTGTAATTATGCATATAATATACATTATATCAATAAGAAAAATTACAAACACTACCATGTATTTGACACACACAAGTAGCATAGAAGTATAGTCATTGACAATAGAACCTTAATAATGTTCAAACTTATAATTTAAATGAATAATCATCGAATTTCGACCATTGGGCGACCTTGTTGGTCTAGCGATCTAACACACCGCTTTACGGCCGATGGTCGCGAGTTCGATTCCTCGCACGGCACAAACATTTGTATTCATGAGTATGATTGTTTGTATGAGATTATTATTATTATTGGTCGACCACTAGTTTAAATAAATTAATATCAAAAGAAATAATTGTTGCTCAAATCGCGTTCGCTTAAAACATGGGCCAATATAAAATAGCTTCATCGGCATTTCTAGAATTCCATCATAAGATAGTCTTCATCACCCCCTGGATGACATTCGAGACGAGATTTATAATGAATAACTTAAAACTACCCGAGGGCTCTAAATTGACTGGTCGCAAATAGGGTTCCCACCTCTCTCGAAATTGAAGGGGTCTAACGAAGTTGAGTATGGTAATGAAAATGTCTCGGATTCTAGAAAGAAAAATACGAATACCAGTTTTAAGTGTGTTTTGGCCTAGTGGTTTACCACCCTAATTTAGAACACAAAACTGACTGTCTAATTCTCCGGTGAAGTAAATGTAACGAAAAATAAATCGATAACAAATCAAATTAATTAAATGTGAGCATGTCAAGTGTCGTTACTGTCACCTCAACCTTTGAAAATGACTCTGACAACCCCATCTGAGACAACAGTCGGGAAGAAATTATATATCATTGTATTTTTTCCAAATTAAGATAGTCAAAATGTGACAACCCTAGTCCTAAAGTAATCGACGCTCTCCGTGATGAATTTGCCAAGTAAATGTTGCCAATGGTGTTTTATAAAGTAGACAAGATATGATACCGGACTATTTGATGTTATGTCAAAGATTACATAGTTTGTAGTAGACAAGCTTTGTAAATACAAATAACATTTTTGTAATCCTTGATCACCTATTTATACCTTTGTTATTTTATTGTCTTTGTAATCTTATCACTACTCGAAAAACGATAGATGGTTACGATCAGAGAAACTGAACATTGTCCTTAAAAATATTGTAATAATTTTATGCTATTCTTTGGTGTAGCAGTTAATTACTCGACATTACTTCCGATGGTGGGGAATTTCTAACACAATATAATGACACAATGTAATAATAAGAACATTATTAATGCTTGGGGTTTTATCATATACATATATATATTATGAATATATTTAATTATTTCTATCAGTTGTTTAGTAAAAGCTCTGCTTAGTTTGAGACTGTATGGCACTGTGTGAACTGTTATTATTATTATCTATTTCGAGATTAGGTAGTCGTTAATAATAAAATCTTTTTAATAATTACTGTATTTAAAGAATTTTAACACCTGCGGTAAGCTGTTGTTTATTCAAATTATAATGGGTCATATAGATAATTCTATTATACATTTATAAGTTATATTATTGTAAAGTTTCATTAAAATCCATTGAATGATTTTTGTCTGAAAGAGTAACAAATATTCCATCCATCGACACAAAATTTTCGCGTTTATAATATTATAAAATGGTGTGTACATTGTTTCTAAAAAAAGCCATTCGAAACCGTAGCGGGTTAGTTATGTAACTAATCGTTATCATGTAACGTAACTATATATTGAAACGGGTAATAATTCTTGCGCCCTGCCAAGCGTTGCCTAGTGTTTTAAAGCAACGTCAGCTCCGCGCGGTCAGCATGTCGTGTCCACGAATACATTAGTAGTTAATGGCCGGGCTGCAGCGGCAGGCCCTCGTAAATACGTGCCCACAGAAACATATCTTCATGATTACACGTTATCTACGACTTCTATGACGAGACCTTTGGATCTTAGGGATGGAGGAGATTTAGTTTGGATAGGTTACTTTCTGAACTGAAAAAGGTTTGTTTAGAACCTCGTAAATACGTACCCAGAGGAACTTATCTTCACGATTACACGTTATCTATGACTTTTAAACATACTGGAAAAAGGGTTTTTAAGTGTATATTTTTGTCCCAAAATTATAAATATTATTCACAAACGTTAACATATGTAAAATTAGAAATGAAAGAGTTTTTTTCTGTTTTCGTGTACCCCAAGAGCTTCAAATGTGAACAGCATGTATTGTAATGGATAGGACTACCGGTATAGCCAATTTTTTCTTTTACTGTAATAAACTCCCATGAAATCAAGTGGGTCTATAATCCTGATAATCAACGTATTCACCGTTGCCTTGCCGTTATCTCGTTATTTTGAGTCGGCGCAGTATGACATCTTCTACTGATCCCTATCGGAGCAGTCAGTAGCTTACTCTACTTTTATACATCTCTAAACCCGACAATATCAATAATAATATGCCTGTTACTTTCTATTCTTAATACTAACGTGTTCGGTGTTGTTCCAGAATTCTTTGCGTACCTACGAAGCTGACAAGCGCCACATGATGGATCGAATCGTTAAGCTGGAGGAGGAATTGCGTACTCTAAGAACGACCAATGGGTATGGACTAGTGTAATTTGTACAAATATTTAATTAAAATGTAACTGATTGCTGTATTCGTGGAAGATATTTGACAAAATATACTATTATTATTGGAGGACGTAAGAGAACTGAAATCAATTATAGTCACAGTTTTTGAGTTTGACTCTGTCTTTGTTTTGGGATTTTCATTATAACTCCATAGGGTAAGCTTCAATTCAAATATTTATACTTCCTGTTGACACGAAAGTTCCAAATATATTCCAAAAATAGTTTCCAAAATAGTAACAAATCTAGACATAAACAGAGAATTTAATATAGATGAGGATATTGTCCAAGATCCTTAACTTTTCCTGCCTGCCTATAGAGTAAGTAAGACGACATCGCATCGACCTCTAGAATAATTGTTTTAATTACAACAGGTTAGAACATAACGAAACGAAAATGATGAATGGCAATGTTGAAGACGTAGAAGCTGAACGACTGCGTCTGCGCAAGGAAGTCGCAGATATGCGAAAGGCTAAACAGAATGCCGAAGAACACGCGCTCAAGTAAGTTGTAGGTACAATCCCTTAATATATCCGGTTCGAAGGACCAGCTTGTTGTGTTGTCCTTTTTCTAGCTTAACGCTTTCAGTAACATGTTCAGTGGTATCAATGTTATTTTTATCAACAACATATCGTTAATAATCAATAATGACATAAGTACAATATATATAATATATATAACAATTAAATTTTACTAATAAATTATAACAGACAATCAGTATGTATGACAGTGATATAATTAATACTAAATCTATCACAGCATGATCATATATAAATACAAAAAATTCGTTTCGATCGATGTATTGGATTACAGTATAAATGAAGATTTTAATTCGGATAAGTATGACCTATTAATATAGTCGTCACTAACTATAGCGCAGTTAAATTTATGCTTTTGAAAATAACATTAGTATTTTTAATCTAGTATAGTAAGTCTTAAATGTACAACAAAGACATCATTACAGACTGGAGCGCCTTGTAACTCAACTCCGTTCAAAATTCAACGGACTCCAAATTACAACAAACGGCCCGGAGTCGCTGCCGAGTGACCCCGAACATGAGCCGAACTCGCGCGCCCGACGCACCAGCGTTAACTCGTCCTCAAACTCGACCGTTGTCTTCGGACCTGTCACCGATTTGTAGCGAACATTCGGGGTTGCAGTCTGTTCAGTAATAACAGACTTATTCTGGTCAGCTTTGTATAGACCTAGCTGAGAACGGCGATAATCGTTTTCCTACTAAATTTATTATAGCGGTAGACAATGCAGGTCGGGACTGTTTTGTTATTGGAACAATCGAGTTAAATTTTTAATTAAAGTTGTCTGCGTGAGCACTAATAATAATAATATAATAATAATAATTGTAAACTATGTAATGAATTCTTACATTAATACACATTACATACAGTAATAATGAATTATTACATTATTCTTACATTAGTGCTCCGGAATTGGCAATATATGAGGTGTAGAGCGTCCAAGAGCGTAGTTACGACATAACTGTAGTCAGTCAGTTCAGTCTACAACCGAGGATTATCACTTTCCACCAGGTTGGCTGTTATTTGCCGTTCTGGATATTAAAAAGAAACTTATACTTATCATCTACGATATATAAATAATTAAACCTATTATCAAAATTATCAAGAATTGCGGCCCGCCCGCCCCGCCCGCTCTACCTCATCTTGCTATTTCTCATGCGGCCCTTGTCTGAAAGGTTGACGACCGCTATTTCATTATTCTATAATGGTGAATGTGAAATAAAACTATGAAAACTTTAGATATAGAATAAATCACTTATTTATACATATTAATTGATAAAGTCAGTGAATCTCAGTAGGTCTGATTGTTTTATTTTTTGTGTATCGAAACTCTATGTCGCTTTATCTTTTGTGTGTGATGTTAAAAAATGCACTGCGATACTCTCTCAGTTGGCTTCACTAAATATGTTTATATAATTTACATAAATAATTATAAATATGATGATTAATGATATTTGAATATTAAAATACTAGTTAATTTATGTACTTCAACGAATCAAAGCAATAATTTTTACGAATTATTCCATGCTCATGTCTAATTACAATTAGAAAATAGTTATTTTGTTCTCAATAATTTATTATATGTCTGTAGTTTAAACGCAAATATGTCACAATATTACCTAAATATATCATGGTGTTTAAAAAAATACTGCTAACACTCGTTTTCGGTAAACTTTGTGGTATCGTCAACTAATTATGTCCCTAGAAAGAAATGTTAATAGGAATAATATATATTACATTTTATTACTACAGTTAAAATTACGTTCGTACTTACTAAATGTGAAAGTTTCAAAATAATTAAAAAAATTGACAACATATTATATTTAAACATTGATCGAAAACGTACTTTTGATGATGCAGAGACTTCTTTTAATGTCTGTACAATCACATAACTTTTTAAACGCTATGAATAAATGATATTCAATTAATTAATGACTATTAATAAGAATTTATCGTGATATTGATTTTAGTTGCAACTTTGTGTGATTTTTGTCTCAAAATTAATAAGTATAGTACATTCTAAAATTCAGGTGCTACGTATATAATGACTACAATATTTTATATATTTTATGCAGTTACCTATATATGTATAAATATATTATTATTATTGAATCACTTTTCTGTTAAATAATGCAGTTTATTTATTTAATTTAGAACTTTGTGTTTTTTACTATATTATTTTACGATGCATTAATAATACGGGATGAAGTATTTGTTAAACTAATTTTCCCTTATAATGGACACTGTAATACTTAAAACTAACAATTTTATGTTTTGGTATTAATCATCCACAATTAGGAGTTTGAATTTTTATGAAGTTGAAAGTAAATAGATATTTGGCACTAAATTTCATTCAAATCATTCATATTCATATAAAGTCATAATTTTGTAATTACAGGAATAAATAATCACTTCGATAGTTGCCATTGGCACTATATGTTCAGGGAATATAGACGTTATTGTTATAAGAATAAATAAGGTGTGTCGCGAAATCTAATTGATCAAATATTACGTTAATTCCATTGATACCCTCGAGGGCAAACAGTGTACGAAACAATGTTTATTCTGGTCGTATCATAGATACATCAAATTCAAATTATTAGAGACATACAGTTTACTTACGAAGCACTGTTTGCCGAGTCATTTGGTGCCACTACCTGACCAAGTGGTATTGGTATTTGCAATTTACAACCAATTCGCTTTTCACACATCCATATTATAGAGCTTTTAATAAATATTTGTCCCACTTATGTACTGTAGATAATGTTTTCTTTCATATATTACGTTCCAGGTCCGATAAGTACATTATATTGGGTTTCCTATATCTGACTTGATAAGCCTATGAAATGGCAGATAATACAGATTTATAAAACATAATTGGTGGCATTACACATAGAATTCAAATGAGCGAGTGTATTTACGTATTCTAATTTAAAATACATTAAATTTATGATGACATGTCACAAAGTCCTTATATTACAATATAAGCGATTATATATTTATTTTTATTTATTTATTATAGGAAACCGGAGCTATATATGCGTTCACACAAACTTCGTTATAAATCAAACTAAACCACTTACAGGGTTTTTAGAAATATTAATAAAAAAGTGGGTCTATTTGGTTCCTTCTAAGGCCTTAATTTTGGAATAACGTCTATTGATCACTTTAACCAGAAGTTAATATGTTCTGATCCCACGGACGAAGTCGCGTGTAAGACCATAACTGTATAAAAAATCAACAATTATTCCTATCTGAAAGCCTCTTTTCAAAATACCCTAATTCCACTAACGTACATTATTATCTTTTCAGGTAAAAATTAATAAATAATAATTGAAATGACAAGAGATCCAATTGTACTAATATTTATTTCTGACAATCAAGACCATCAAATTCCATTAAAATTTAGACTAACAAATTCTTTATAACAATTCTGGTAATCTGAAGATAACATATCTTAATTTTATATAACTACTATTTTATTCCTAATTATATTATATTTATAGTTGTGAATAATTTATTGTTATACACAATATATAATTTTCAATGAACAAAATTAAGAAGTCATATTGAGGACATAGGAGCAATTCTTTTCTCCGCCTTTATTTAATGTGTTATGTACATTATAATGATTACTATTAGGAATAATTTGAAATGATTCTAATTTAAATTTGTCCTAAATTATTTTGCTCATGATTGTGATGTGAATTTGTCTTTATTAGAACAATGTCGAATTTATAATTAAATAATAATTCGTTTATAATTATTTAAATGTGTGTGTTCAAAGAAAGTTTGAAAATTTGTGTTGTTTTGTAGTTTTATGATCCAAACGTTTTGGTAATTGTAAAAATATGCAAAAGTGTTGATTCAGAATGTAGCAAAAATATAATTACATATTTCTGTATTTATTATAGTCCCCTAAAAGAATGTGTCAAAGGGGTCATATAAAATAAAAAATCATTAATTATATATGTAAGAAAGTAAACTGAATAATTCTATTTCTATTATTATACAAGATATTAGGCGTAAATGGTATACCAAACTAAGTCAGATTACTCTACTCTACTCTAGAAACTAACAATTTTCGCCGAGACGCAAAGTGGAAATCAGAAAATTAATGTTGAACAATTTATAATAAGTAGATCACGTGATATCGGTATTTGTATAAAGGTTCTTTTTTTAAGTTCCCGACTTGGTTTCTTTGAAAAAGTTTTTAGTTACAATGAATGCTGGTTTTCACTTGTATTCGACTTGATTCTGTATTTAGTTTTTACAGTAACTACTAATTTTTTTATATCATATATTCCTTTATTTTCGATCTATAATATCAACTAAACTGTATTAAGAATTAAAATAACTCGAATAGCATCATTTTCTTATTTTATTATAAACAAAAACGATGTATCAAATATGTTTATGGGACTTAATTAAAAACTTTAATTATAAATGACAAAGCTCAGTTTTGTTTAATAAAAAATCGTTGAGAATAATAGCCTACTTCGAAAGTGAGAGTTTTTTTTTATTCTATATATATGGTATAGTTATCAAAGATTTAATTTTGAATTAACATGATTTATTTGATAGATACTGATCACTCTCTCTTTACTAACCACCGATCACACTTAGAATAGACTGATTTTTTACTAATTTATTGACTTACAATTAAGTAACATACCAAATTAGAGATTATAATTATATCAATACAATATTTCATAAGTACTGATACAATTTATCTGTTGTATTAAATTATTTTTTGACATTACCCGTGGCTCATGTATGACCCACTGCAAACACCTATGATTTTTTTAATCAATTTACGCAATAATAAAAATATTATTTGTCTCTATTAATAATTATTAAATATAAAATGCAGTGGGTTAATCAGTCATTATAACTTTACCATGGGTAATGTCATCGTTCTTACTAAGAATTAAAAAAAATGTTTAACTATGAGTGCTTTGCTAGGTCACTACATTATGCATAGAAAATATTTAGAATTGTAATATTATATTTAAATCATAATGTGTGTCAATAAAGCGTACATTAGTAAATTGATGCATACGAGAATTGATTAAAATAATTAACAATTGAATAATTATTCATTAATCATTAAATTCACGATCAATATGATTGTTAATTGTTGATCAATGTTATTTATAATATAGCAATAATTATGTCAATGTTATGTACACGAAAAGTACGAGTATATAATAGTTATTTCATTCCATTTTATATCAAAATATAATTTACATGTTTCATAGAAATATGACAGTCGCAAATCCTCTACAACTCACAAATTAGAAATGCCATTTCGTTCACTCATTTAGATTTTGTTCGACGGTAGTTCGTCAAATCATTTGAACTTGCGGCGGTTATATTGCAGTAACATAAGTTATATTAAAGGTTTCTGACATTAATATGTGATTATGTCTAGTTGAACTCCCTTAACTACTATTCGATAAATTCATCGAATATTTTAATTTAACAGTGACATTATTATTGCAATAGAAATATTATAATTTAATTTAGAAGCGATTATGACACGTTATTGTATAATTATAAGTATATAAATACGTATGACATAATTTATAATAAGCCCTACACTTCTGTGCAAAGTTGATAGTTTTAGTATTGTAAATAAAATTGACAATATGATCTACTCGCTATATTGAAAACTTATTGTGTATTCTAATTATTCTCTCATAAGATTCAGAATAGCAGTAAGTTTATAATATTGGTGCCTTATAAATAACGAGTCCGCCCATAAGTAATGTTAACAATATAATAGACTATAGCAAGGTGTCAAAACTAGATTTAGTCAACATAATTATAAAGTCATTTGTTAATTAAAAATGTACATGACTAACCAAAGTTATAAGGCCCTTATTATTAATCTTAGAGTATTTTACAAAGAATTGTTCCGGCTTCGCTCCGCTGGCAAACACGCTGGCTGATTTGGTAAAAAAACCTAAAACATGTATAGTTAAATGGTAGAAGAGAAAAATACTGTAAGACATCCTTTGTCTTGCGAAATTGTTCCTTTTGAAATATTTGCTGCAATTATTCTTCGTGATAATTTGAATACCGTCTGTCTATTTTGTGTGTATGTAAGTACGTATATGATATAACTTTCCTAACTATACCTAAATTGAAAACTATATCAGGCATTGATGTGTGAATCTTTGAAACTATTACTAACAGAAAAGTTTTTATTTCCAATGGTGGAAAAACCCCATAAATATTTGACAGATTCTAAACATTCCATCACCTATAGAAATAGGAGAAAGAATTTTTTTATTCTACTACGTTAACAGCCAGTATCATTGGCTATGTTTTATTACTATAGATCATTATAATATCAGCTGTGCGAAGCCAGGGCGATTCACTAGTACTTTATATTTTCACGAGAATATGTAATTGTACGTAGTGTTGAATACTCTATGATGACAAATAAAAGTGCAGATCTATTATTTATTTATGAATTAGTGTACAGTAATATACCCAAAATGCTTTGTAAAAAACATCCTGTACATACCTAGTTTAGTACACTAGATATAGGTATATAAAATAAAGTAATACTCAATTATCTACTAGTTCGTGCTTGTAGGCATTATTTATTAAAGCTGTTTTCGGATCCCGGATATTATCAGAGAAATATCCGGGACTAAATATTATTCAACAAAAGCACATTATTTTGCACGGAAGTGGATGCCGGATCTTACTGCCTATCTGTTTGTTTCGAATACTCAATTAAGTACACTTGTGTTGCAAATATTTACTCTCACAAAATCGATTGTTAATTAATTACTACTGGTGAAATAAGGGTTTTTAATAAATTATTACGAACAAAGACTGAACTGTGTTTACTTTGATTTTTGTTACTGAATAGTTTACCCAAAATATTTCTTTGAATGTAATTAAGTTGTTGTTCTTAAATAAACAACTTAATTTTACTTGTGTTCTAAATGAGTGAAAGTAGACTGTAGGTAATTACAAAGTTTTGGTTATAACAATGAATAAAGTAACTATTGCTTAATGAGACTATAGTAATACTTTTATCATTGTGTTTCGTACTGTCCCGTTTTATCTTATATATAAAATTCTCGTGTCACAATATTAGTTACCATACTCCTCTGAAACGGCTTGATCGATTTTTATGAAATTGTATATGCATATTCAGTATGTCTGAGAATCGGCTACTATCTATTTTTCATACCCCTAAGTGATAAGGGTTGTCCACCCCTAACATTTATTTTTATTTTTTTTATATAGCATTAAAAATACATTCAACTCTAAATTTTCACCCTTCTATCACCAACCCCTATTTTTTATAGCGTTATTAATTTATACGGCAAAACGACGTTTGCCGGGACAGCTAGTTTCATATAATAAAATTAGCAAACCAAACTAAACGGCCTACCTATATACATATATATATATATATATATATATATATATATATATATATATATATATATATGAGCAGCACCATGAACCTTACGTCATCATATGATTCTCATTGTACCTACCTATCATGCATTGGTCTGCATTATACTTGACATTTGTCATTATGTTTTGCTATATTACTGTAAAGTTTCATCAAAATTCGTTCAGTAGTTTCTGCGTGAATGAGTAACAAACATCCGTCCATACTCACAAACTTTCTCATTTATAATATTAATAGATATAGAATACCTCATTTGCGTTGTCTGACCGTAAGTTATAACTGTGAACTAATCATTCTAAATTACAATGTAAAACTGCCACAAAGGACGCCTTTATGCGTTAATAATGACCAGTTCAATTGCTTTTAACCCCACGGAACTAATTTATTCGAGATACAACATTGCATTGTTTCTATTATTTTTGAGCGTTTTCAATAAAAACAGTAAAAGCGCAAAGGGCGCGCCCGAGCACGCGCGGTCACGTGCCGGCCGCGTGCCGACGCCATCTTGCAACGCCATCTTGTGTGATGGGTGGGAACTTCCGGCGGAAGACTCGTCACCAATTGTGGGAAAACTTGTAAAGATATTACATTTGTATGTGTCATATTAGAACCACTATAAGTACCTAAGTACACACCTTATGGAAAGAATTAATTAACACTGATATCAAATTCTAGACTACTCCTGTTTTACTGCTATGGTATTTATTTGCCATTATAATATTGTTAATGAGATTTAATATCCGTTGATAGACTTGTATGGTGGCATTAGTATCCTGGATTACAACTATCGTGAGTTAGACAACAAATACTATTATACTATATACCCATCATCGTAGGGTATTCTTGATAAAATCGCCACATTGGGCTAATTGGCCTGACTTCATACACATCCAAGCATCGTCAAATGGTATACTGCCAGCTTATATCTCTAATATCTCTATTAAAAACGGACAGAAGCATTAACATACAAATCATATTAATTCGAGAAATAACGGCATGCTCTTCCTCTACCACCAATGTAGTAAAATAATCTTTTCGGTCAAATCTAAATTGACAGTTGGAAATCTTGGATTAATGATTCAGTCCTGAAGCTATATATATTTAATATTGTCACTAAAATTAAAGTATAATTTTGTAAGTGCTTTTATTTAATATACGACGGTTTGCTATAGGTAGGATGGCTCAGACAGACATTGTAATCAAATATTAACACGACCGCAACGCTACAAATTGGGCACAAATCAATTCACCGGCCGCGACCGACTCGCGGCGAGCGCTAAAAACCACGACCTCATTATTGGACATGAATTAATCACACTTGTCGATTGTTCTTTAGTGAAGTGACGTGACATGTGCCTACGTTGTTTGCTGATGTCGATAATGTAAAAAATGTAGATGACTTAGGATACAAGAAACCTATCTACCTATCTGAAATGTTTCAACTCGTACTTAGTAGACTTCATAAATATATTATAGGAATAAGTTATGTCAATAATATTTGTAAATATATTACGACTCATATACCCTGTAGGTTTGTGGGATACCTACTCGCTATCTACTGACGACAGTCCCGGTGGTCTAGCGGTTTAGTACTCCTGATGGTCGCGGGTTCGATCCCACCTACGATGTAGACATTTGTATTAGCTTATAGCTTGGGAGATATATGGGAATTGTCCAGGAGTTATTATTATATTCTGTTGTGGTTCTCACTGATTAGGTCTTTTAAAAAATTTAATTATGTTGAAGAAATTTTGAAAATTATTATAATTTTGTTGTACTGTTTTTATTTGTATATTTTTAGGTATACATTTGATATATTTTTTGCATAAATATGTGGTCTTTCAATTTCGACTAGATATTAAAAATTATAATTGTCTAATAACGTACATAAAATTGAAATGCTCATTCAACAGAACTTTCAAAGACAAATTAAAAAATTATCCTAGTTATACTACATGAATAAAATTCATGTATGATATCTATCACTTAGCCAAGCCATATCTAATATTTTATCATATGTATATCCCTACTAGTTCGGTTATCTACTTTAGTTGAGAAGAACTGGTAGAAAACTTAATTGGTACATTTTTATGTAATTATTACTTTTAGTTGGATTCAATATTTATAAAACAAATACAGCGTTCCAATGGTCTCTATATTTATATCTGGCATAATTATAACATCGAAAATCCGTTGCCATATTATTTTTCATATTCATATAAATATACATAATTGAATAGCAGATGGGGCCATCCCTATCGCAATGAATATTGTATGTTGCAATTTGTGTAATTTGATTAAGCCCCACCTGCATTGAACGCGCGCGACGCGACGCGACGCGACGCGACGCGACGTAATGAGGGTGATGATATGCACATTTACCCCCATATAA